CCCCCTTAACTTCCCCTCACACCAACACCAGCACAGTGGCTCTCTTTCACACGCGGGTGCCTCGAGGCAGCAACACGTGGTCTACTCCATGGGCAATGAAGTACAACCCAACGTACATGCTCGGAATCACCACCCTGCTCGTTACAACCCCACCACCTCCCCCTCCCACAGCCAGCAGCTTAGCGGTCCCCTTTCACACGCGGGTGCCTCTAGGCAGCAGCACACGGTCAACGCCATGGGCAATGAAGTACGGCCCAACGTACATGCCCGGAATCACCACCCTGGTCGTCACAATCCCCCTCGCTCTGGTGCTAGGGTACGTCCCAAACATCACCACACTGCCGTTCCTGCCGGTCAGCTTGTAGAGAGCCTGTCGCAGCTGAGTCGGCAGCGGCTGGCCTGCCCGCATGGATTTGATCTTGGGCAGGATGAAACGTTTTGCGATAATGTGATAGGCTGTGACGTTGTATGCCCTGGGAATGTTCTTGGACGTGAGAGGAAGCCGCTTGGAAAGCGCCTCTGCCGCTGTGTTGCTGGGAATGAGGAGGGTGGCGTCAGCAAGTGCTGAGAAGTTGTACTTGGAGTTCACTGGCGGGGAGGGATGGAGGGGAGGAGAGGGAGTGAGGGAGTCGGTTCACCGGAGGGGAGGGGAGGAACGAGAAAGGGGTTGGGATTGAGTTTGGACAGGGATGGAGTGAGGGAGTCGGTTTTACTGGAACGGCGAAAGAACAAAGCGGGTGAACGTGACTGGAGGGCAGACGAAGGGTAAGAAAAGAGGGGAAGCAGGAAGACAACCTATCATTCTGGAGAGACAAGTGCAGGATGAAAGCATGGAAAAGAGAGGAAGCAAGAGAGAATGATGCAGTGAGAATGAGACACGGAGAATGATGCAGGGAGGATGAGCGAGGGAGGAGGAAGCAGGGAGAAAGAGGCAGGGAGCAGAACCGACTGGCGAGGTTGACGTATTTGTTGAAGTCTTTGGAGAACTTGGAGTACTGCGGGTAGCGCTGCAGCAGCCGCTTTGCCATCCGCGACACCTCCGCCTTGATCTGCGCCTTGGTTGGCGGCGGGCGGCGAGCAGCAGACGCGGACGCCGTGAGGAGAAGGAGGAGGAGCGGGAGGACGTGGAAGGCGGCTCGAGAAGATGCAGCCATGGCGAGCAAACCGTTTGTGCTAACGCTTGTGAGTGAGAGATTTGTAACGCGTTTCGCGGAATGCAGAGGAAGGGTCTGGTCAGAGGGGAACCGGAATGGACGGTCGGCGTGCAGGTGATTGGAGCTAAGGAGAACGAAGGGGACTGGTGGTGGCACTAGTAGCGATGCTGTCTGCTTTGAGAAGGTGACTAGGGACCTTGGGATCAATTCCAGAAGAATTGGGCTCCAAGATAGAAAGTCGAACAATTAACTTCGAATTCAGCTCTAGAGAAACTGTGCTGGATGATTGATCGACCTAAAGGCGGATCTGGTCGACTTTATACCTCCGGGGCCGTGTAATTGGCACTTGACCCGTTTCTCGAAGCTTCCACGAATCCCAGCCATCAGAAGCAAAGCGACCGCAAAGGACGGTTGGATTTGAACGCCACGACCGACTGAAATCGGGAAGAGGCAGTGAAGGCGCAAGGACGCATCTCCACGTACGTACAGCTCGTCGGCGTACGAACGCGAAGCGCAGAGCCACGTGGCATGGCGTCACGAGAGCGCCACGCGATGGTGTCGTCAGAGCGGCTGTGAGCAGCGTGCGACGCCATCACCGCCCATGGCTTGTCGTCGCATGTCTACAGCGTTGTGCTTCTGTACCGTAGACCGCACCGCAATAAAGACAGTCGTCGGCCACCACACTGGTTGATACAGCGATGGCACAGTTGCAGAACACGGCACTTGGGATGTCGAACCCATCGGAAGTTGAGATTCCGATCGCACTCTCGCGTCAATCTCTCGCGTCGGTCCCTCCGCGTCTGAACTCGGGACTCGTTCGATAATGGCCAATCGAGTCAGTCTGCAGTCGTCGGGCGGCTCACTCGGTCCAATCTGGGCAGTCTCGGGTCAGACACTATCCACACAGGCTCTTCAGCGGTGAACTGGCGGCTGCTAATCGGCAATATCTAGGTGCGGACGGCCTAGCTGCCTGTTCAACCGGTTTCCGTCATGTGCGTCACGACGAAGCCCGTCACCGTCAAGTCCGTCGCCGTCCATTGAGCAGACAAACCGACAAAGGACCTTGCGTCCCTCGTCGCGAGATTTCATCCTTGGTCGGTCGCGGAGAGAGCAGGGTGTGCAGGTATTTTATGCTGCGACGATGGGCTTTGGAATGCAGACAGGGGAGCAGGACAAGGGGGAGCTTGTATTGGCGAAGCACAAAGCTGAAGCAATATTCATGGTGGCGGGTGGTGGTGAGTTGAGTGGAGAATGGTGAGTGGTGGTGAACGGTGGATGGTGAGTGGTGAGTGGGCGGTGGTGAGTAGTGAGTGGGGGGTGGTGTGTGGTGAGCGGGGGGTGGTGGGGGGAGGTAAAGCGATGTTGGGAAGGAAATTTGTTCAACTCGATGGGCTGAACTTGTCTCCAACCAGGAATGCTGACGATTTGAAGCTCGTGAAGCTCAGGTTCGTTAGGTGTACTGCGTTCCAAAGCGGTAATTCCTTCACACAAATCCGCGTTCACATGCCTGATCATGGAAATGGCATTTGTTGTTACCGTGAAACGCTGGTTACCCTGCCAGAACTTGAACACCCTCGCGAAAGTCCGGATATATTTGAACAGTCCCATTCCCCAGGATCGCTTTCGCCGAACGCCGGACGAGTGATGATTTCGCAAGGGGCACAGCAACGGCCGAGCGAAGGTGGTTCGCGCGTGTAGCAAAGGGACCTTCCCACCACCCCGTCACCAGCACCAAACACTCTTCCACCCCGCGACACGCTTCACCTCACCTGCTCGCACCAAACCTATTGCACTACTACTACCATTCCCATTAGGGCGTGTCCAGCGCGTACCATAAACCCATTCAGTTACCACATTTCCTATTGTAACACTGCATTTTACAAAAAGGTTGGACACGATCAGCTTCCGTTCACAAGACGGCACGCCCGCTGCGCGTACGACGAATCGTCTAACACACGTTACTGGAATCGGTGTGCGCGCGAACAAGGGTACAGCATTGCGTCCTGCCCGCTACAGTAATTTTCGTTCAAGCGTGGAATTTTCGCTTGTGCGTGAATTTCTGTGCGATGATAGACGAGGCAACCAGTTACCTCGTTTTCCACGAACTGTAGAAATTTGTGTGCAGAGGGTTGTGTCCGCGCGCTGGAAGGCCCAATCCTTCGGACTCGACTCACCTTATATTCGTTTTTTGGTACAGTGAGATTTTTTGAGCCGGGAAACGTGTGAAGGTACTAATATTCCCAAAATGTACGCGCTGGACACGCCCTTAGCTACTACTTCCCTAGTTATTTGCCCCAACCGCAGATTGTCGGACTGCAGATAACCCATTAAATCATCGCGTATCAGTCACGCCCGAGCGTAGTCCACACGTCAGAGTCCCTTCGCGTGAGTCGTGACGGAGTCCGCTTGCGGGGATGGCCATGACGGCTCAAGCGAGTCGCAAGCCGCGCTCTTGTCTGAGCGCGACTGGAAGGTTGATTCTCCATGTCTCGGACTCAGAGAGTCCAGAGGCCTATAGAGTAGACGCTCAGTATCGACAAAGTATCACAGCTTTCATACTCGCTCCCTCCATTCTCCTTCCTTATCGTATCAAAAGTCGTTCGTGCATACCGAACACGGCTCTGCTCACAGCATCATTTCTCGACTGTTCTTCGCTGCTGAAACCATCACATTCGACTGTGCTACCTTTCCTAAAGGCTTTTTACTGAGATCTGAGCATCTAACAAGTCGCTACTATGGCTGCTACTTCTAGTAGCAACGTGCGGCTCCACGCAAGCCGCAAGCTGCTTCTCCTTCCTCTCGCCTTCATACTGCTCCTCGCCGTCACCAGCGCCAGCGCCGCGCGGCCCGTCCTTCACGCATCCCCCTCCGCCACGCGCGGCGTCGCCCGCCGTGCGCTCGCCCACGCGGACTCCGCCGTGTCCCCGCACAGGGTGGAGCGCCGAAAACTCTTCAGCTGGGACGGCGTGACCGTGGATCAGATCAAAGCCGGCAGCCTGGGCACGATCGACGGTCCGAATGACGAGGAGGTGACGACGAAGATCGTGGATCTATTCATGAACGCGGGGTACAACGTGATGGTCATTCAGAGCGACCACTCCGTGCAGGGCGACCCGGAATCCGTGCAGGTGGAGGTGTGGCACTTCTGGGATAACTCCGAGTTCACCGTCTACTTCAAGCAGGGCGCGTTCTCCGCGGAGAATCTTGGCAATGGCGGGTTCGAGAACTGGGCGTTCGGAGGCATGTGGGAGCGGTACGGCGCGGATGAGAAGGTTGTCGCGTTCTCTTGAGTGATATAGTTGGTGCTTTTAGAGCCTGGGGCTCAGATCAGACCTAGTGGATGTTAGGTGTTGAGCTGATGCTGCATCATGGTGTGCTTGTTGCTCATGAGTCAGGCTGTCTGATGTCCATTTTACTGGTTACCGGTGTGGTGTAGATGGTGCATGAGATTGGTGTTATGGTGAAGTAAGTAATTCATCAGATGTACCTACTAAGAATTTCTATCGGGTGCTCCAGAGCTTGACATGGTATCCCACATATGGCTGATAGGAGCTCGCCTCCAAGTCTGTTTTTTCGACATGATGTATGAAAGCATACGAGATTCATGCAGCACACAGAAGCATGCCTCTAAAGCAGCCTGGCACAAAGTCACACCAAACCAACACGCCAAGAGCATCCTCAACAGCCGCATGCGATTTCAGTGCCTCGGCTTGCCGGAAAGCAACCCCACCGGATTCTCTCACTCTGCAAGGATGGGTACCGGTACATACATGTCTGCAAGGGGTGAGCGGTTTGTGCAATAAACACGCTGTGTGATTGTACTACTATAAGGCAGAACACACGAGGTCACTCGAATCCAACCGGCACTCCTAACTTCTCACTGGCTATCACAAGAGCCTTGTACGTCGATCCCATGCCCACAAACGATCCCATGCCGCTGCTACCACCACCATCTGTCCCAGAAGAATTACTCTCACCCCCACCTGCCCCACCATCAGCCCCACGCACTCCCACCTCCCCCTCCCTCTCTGCCATCTTCCCCTCCACGCCCTCGCTCTCATCCTCATCATCAAGCCACGGGGGTTCTCCATCGCCCACGAGGCGCCAGTACCCGTCCCTGAGAGCCTCCGCCTGCTGCTCCGACGCCACTCGCAGCAGCGCCTCCACTCGAAAGTTGATGCCCAGCCGGCCAAGTAGTTGTGACTGGGTTATAGGGCCGTATGCCCGTGCCGGCACTGTGAGGGTTGAGACGGGTGAGGGGGGATGAGGAATTGGGGGGAGAGAGGGGGCATAAGGAGGGGACGAAGGGGTTGCCTCCACGCGGAAGTTGATGCCCAGCCGCCCCAGCAGCTGTGACTGGGTGATGGGGCCGTATGCCTGTGCAGGCACTGTGGACAATGAGAAATGGAGAGGTCACGAGAAGGGGAAAGAGGGGGAGAATAGGAAAAAAGGCAGGTTTCTCAAACAAGGCAAGCAGAAGTGAGTGAGTGATGGGGCCATACGGCCGAGCCGGCACTGTGAAGGGGAGGGCTTACGTGGTGAGGAGGGAACATGTGCAAGATTGGGCATGGGGAGACATGGACAGCCACAGCAACGGTGTGTAACTGCAAACAGGTGGGTATGAAGCAGACGTGGCAGCAGCAGGTGTGCACACGGATCATTGGCGTACGAGTGGCCACTGGAGCAATGTGAAGGTTCAGCATGCATGAGAGAAGAAGGGGCAACAGCATTGCATGAGCGAAACAGGTGTGAAGTTTTCATTGTGGAGATCCCATCATGAAGTCCCCATAGTTGATGAGAGGTCTCCATAGTAGATGAAAGGTCCCTATAGTTGATGAGAGGTCCCCATAGTTGATGAGAGGTCCCTATAGTTGATGAGAGGTCCCCATAGTTGATGCGAGGTCCCCATAGTTGATGAGAGGTCCCTGTAGTTGATGCGAGGTCCCTGTAGTTGATGCGAGGTCCCTGTAGTTGATGCGAGGTCCCTGTAGTTGATGCGAGGTCCCTGTAGTTGATGCGAGGTCCCTGTAGTTGATGCGAGGTCCCTGTAGTTGATGCGAGGTCCCTGTAGTTGATGCGAGGTCCCTGTAGTTGATGCGAGGTCCCTGTAGTTGATGAGAGGTCCCTGTAGTTGATGCGAGGTCCCTGTAGTTGATGAGAGGTCCCTGTAGTTGATGAGAGGTCCCTGTAGTTGATGAGAGGTCCCTGTAGTTGATGAGAGGTCCCTGTAGTTGATGAGAGGTCCCTGTAGTTGATGAGTGGTCCCTGTAGTTGATGAGAGGTCCCTGTAGTTGATGAGAGGTCCCTGTAGTTGATGAGAGGTCCCTGTAGTTGATGAGAGGTCCCTGTAGTTGATGAGAGGTCCCTGTAGTTGATGAGAGGTCCCTGTAGTTGATGAGTGGTCCCTGTAGTTGATGAGAGGTCCCTGTAGTTGATGAGAGGTCCCTGTAGTTGATGAGAGGTCCCTGTAGTTGATGAGAGGTCGCTGTAGTTGATGAGAGGTCGCTGTAGTTGATGAGAGGTCCCTGTAGTTGATGAGAGGTCCCTGTAGTTGATGAGAGGTCCTTGTAGTTGATGAGAGGTCCCTGTAGTTGATGAGAGGTCCCTGTAGTTGATGAGAGGTCCCTGTAGTTGATGAGAGGTCCCTGTAGTGGATGAGAGGTCCCTGTAGTTGATGAGAGGTCCCTGTAGTTGATGAGAGGTCCCTGTAGTTGATGAGAGGTCCCTGTAGTTGATGAGAGGTCCCTGTAGTTGATGAGAGGTCCCTGTAGTTGATGAGAGGTCCCTGTAGTTGATGAGAGGTCCCTGTAGTTGATGAGAGGTCCCTGTAGTTGATGAGAGGTCCCTGTAGTTGATGAGAGGTCCCTGTAGTTGATGAGGGGTCCCTGTAGTTGATGCGAGGTCCCTGTAGTTGATGAGAGGTCCCTGTAGTTGATGAGAGGTCCCTCTAGTTGATGAGAGGTCCCTGTAGTTGATGAGAGGTCCCTCTAGTTGATGAGAGGTCCCTGTAGTTGATGAGAGGTCCCTGTAGTTGATGCGAGGTCCCTGTAGTTGATGCGAGGTCCCTGTAGTTGATGCGAGGTCCCTGTAGTTGATGCGAGGTCCCTGTAGTTGATGCGAGGTCCCTGTAGTTGATGAGAGGTCCCTGTAGTTGATGAGAGGTCCCTGTAGTTGATGCGAGGTCCCTGTAGTTGATGCGAGGTCCCTGTAGTTGATGCGAGGTCCCTGTAGTTGACGCGAGGTCCCTGTAGTTGATGCGAGGTCCCTGTAGTTGATGAGAGGTCCCTGTAGTTGATGCGAGGTCCCTGTAGTTGATGCGAGGTCCCTGTAGTTGATGCGAGGTCCCTGTAGTTGATGCGAGGTCCCTGTAGTTGATGAGAGGTCCCTGTAGTTGATGCGAGGTCCCTGTAGTTGATGCGAGGTCCCTGTAGTTGATGCGAGGTCCCTGTAGTTGATGCGAGGTCCCTGTAGCTGATGCGAGGTCCCTGTAGCTGATGCGAGGTCCCTGTAGTTGATGAGAGGTCCCTGTAGTTGATGAGAGGTCCCTGTAGTTGATGCGAGGTCCCTGTAGTTGATGCGAGGTCCCTGTAGTTGATGCGAGGTCCCTGTAGTTGATGCGAGGTCCCTGTAGTTGATGAGAGGTCCCTGTAGTTGATGAGAGGTCCCTGTAGTTGATGAGAGGTCCCTGTAGTTGATGAGAGGTCCCTGTAGTTGATGAGAGGTCCCTGTAGTTGATGAGGGGTCCCTGTAGTTGACGCGAGGTCCCTGTAGTTGATGCGAGGTCCCTGTAGTTGATGCGAGGTCCCTGTAGCTGATGCGAGGTCCCTGTAGTTGATGAGAGGTCCCTGTAGTTGATGAGAGGTCCCTGTAGTTGATGAGAGGTCCCTGTAGTTGATGAGAGGTCCCTGTAGTTGATGAGAGGTCCCTGTAGTTGATGAGGGGTCCCTGTAGTTGACGCGAGGTCCCTGTAGTTGATGCGAGGTCCCTGTAGTTGATGCGAGGTCCCTGTAGCTGATGCGAGGTCCCTGTAGTTGATGAGAGGTCCCTGTAGTTGATGAGAGGTCCCTGTAGTTGATGCGAGGTCCCTGTAGTTGATGCGAGGTCCCTGTAGTTGATGCGAGGTCCCTGTAGTTGATGCGAGGTCCTTGTAGTTGATGAGAGGTCCCTGTAGTTGATGAGAGGTCCCTGTAGTTGATGAGAGGTCCCTGTAGTTGATGAGAGGTCCCTGTAGTTGATGAGGGGTCCCTGTAGTTGATGAGAGGTCCTTGTAGTTGATGAGAGGTCCCTGTAGTTGATGAGAGGTCCCTGTAGTTGATGAGAGGTCCCTGTAGTTGATGAGTGGTCCCTGTAGTTGATGAGAGGTCCCTGTAGTTGATGAGAGGTCCCTGTAGTTGATGAGAGGTCCCTGTAGTTGATGAGAGGTCCCTGTAGTTGATGAGAGGTCCCTGTAGTTGATGAGAGGTCCCTGTAGTTGATGCGAGGTCCCTGTAGTTGATGAGAGGTCCCTGTAGTTGATGCGAGGTCCCTGTAGTTGATGAGAGGTCCCTGTAGTTGATGCGAGGTCCCTGTAGTTGATGCGAGGTCCCTGTAGTTGATGCGAGGTCCCTGTAGTTGATGCGAGGTCCCTGTAGTTGATGCGAGGTCCCTGTAGTTGATGAGAGGTCCCTGTAGTTGATGCGAGGTCCCTGTAGTTGATGAGAGGTCCTTGTAGTTGATGCGAGGTCCCTGTAGTTGATAAGAGGTCCCTGTAGTTGATGAGAGGTCCCTGTAGTTGATGAGAGGTCCCTGTAGTTGATGAGAGGTCCCTGTAGTTGATGAGAGGTCCCTGTAGTTGATGAGAGGTCCCTGTAGTTGATGAGAGGTCCCTGTAGTTGATGAGGGGTCCCTGTAGTTGATGAGAGGTCCCTGTAGTTGATGAGAGGTCCCTGTAGTTGATGAGAGGTCCCTGTAGTTGATGAGAGGTCCCTGTAGTTGATGAGAGGTCCCTCTAGTTGATGAGAGGTCCCTCTAGTTGATGAGAGGTCCCTGTAGTTGATGAGAGGTCCCTGTAGTTGATGAGAGGTCCCTGTAGTTGATGAGAGGTCCCTGTAGTTGATGAGAGGTCCCTGTAGTTGATGAGAGGTCCCTGTAGTTGATGAGAGGTCCCTGTAGTTGATGAGAGGTCCCTGTAGTTGATCAGAGGTCCCTGTAGTTGATGAGAGGTCCCTGTAGTTGATGAGAGGTCCCTGTAGTTGATGAGAGGTCCCTGTAGTTGATGCGAGGTCCCTGTAGTTGATGCGAGGTCCCTGTAGTTGATGCGAGGTCCCTGTAGTTGATGCGAGGTCCCTGTAGTTGATGCGAGGTCCCTGTAGTTGATGCGAGGTCCCTGTAGTTGATGCGAGGTCCTTGTAGTTGATGAGAGGTCCCTGTAGTTGATGCCAGGTCCTTGTAGTTGATGAGAGGTCCCTGTAGTTGATGCGAGGTCCCTGTAGTTGATGAGAGGTCCTTGTAGTTGATGCGAGGTCCCTGTAGTTGATGAGAGGTCCCTGTAGTTGATGAGAGGTCCCTGTAGTTGATGAGAGGTCCCTGTAGTTGATGAGAGGTCCCTGTAGTTGATGAGATGTCCCTGTAGTTGATGAGAGGTCCCTGTAGTTGATGAGGGGTCCCTGTAGTTGATGAGAGGTCCCTGTAGTTGATGAGAGGTCCCTGTAGTTGATGCGAGGTCCTTGTAGTTGATGAGAGGTCCTTGTAGTTGATGAGAGGTCCCTGTAGTTGATGAGAGGTCCTTGTAGTTGATGAGAGGTCCCCGTAGTTGATGAGAGGTCCCTCTAGTTGATGAGAGGTCCCTCTAGTTGATGAGAGGTCCCTCTAGTTGATGAGAGGTCCCTGTAGTTGATGAGAGGTCCCTGTAGTTGATGCGAGGTCCCTGTAGTTGATGCGAGGTCCCTGTAGTTGATGCGAGGTCCCTGTAGTTGATGCGAGGTCCCTGTAGTTGATGCGAGGTCCTTGTAGTTGATGAGAGGTCCCTGTAGTTGATGCGAGGTCCCTGTAGTTGATGAGAGGTCCTTGTAGTTGATGCGAGGTCCCTGTAGTTGATGAGAGGTCCCTGTAGTTGATGAGAGGTCCCTGTAGTTGATGAGAGGTCCCTGTAGTTGATGAGAGGTCCCTGTAGTTGATGAGAGGTCCCTGTAGTTGATGAGAGGTCCCTGTAGTTGATGAGGGGTCCCTGTAGTTGATGAGAGGTCCTTGTAGTTGATGAGAGGTCCCTGTAGTTGATGCGAGGTCCCTGTAGTTGATGAGAGGTCCTTGTAGTTGATGAGAGGTCCCTGTAGTTGATGAGAGGTCCCTGTAGTTGATGAGAGGTCCCTGTAGTTGATGAGAGGTCCCTGTAGTTGATGAGAGGTCCCTGTAGTTGATGCGAGGTCCCTGTAGTTGATGAGAGGTCCCTGTAGTTGATGAGAGGTCCCTGTAGTTGATGCGAGGTCCCTGTAGTTGATGCGAGGTCCCTGTAGTTGATGCGAGGTCCCTGTAGTTGATGCGAGGTCCCTGTAGTTGATGCGAGGTCCTTGTAGTT